AATTGACCTTTTTGGCTAATCGGAATAATTGCCTTACAAACTAAACCATGAAAAAAGCGTCTAAAGTATTAAAATAACTGTCAAGTAAAAGACATTTTTAAAATAGTTAAAAATCTTAAGACCAGGACATGTCGGTGAATTCATTGAAATTTTGTAGTTATAAAAATGTATGCGAATTTATTATTTTCCGTTGTACCTATTGATGCAATAAATATTCCTACTCAAAACTTTATAATTATTCGTTGTGTTTTTGGTTATTGGTTGTTAGTTGTTTAATTAATGAAATTAAATGAAATAACTAATAAAATTTTATTTTTTGAATTTCATGAATACAGGCTGTTACAGATTCGTTTCTCACTACAGGGATCTCGGTAACGGTAAGAGATACGAAGTAGCTTAAATGGGGGCAAAGTTGCATAATCAGGGGACCAACATTATGCCTCTAAAAATCGTGGCTAACACGATTAGTTTTCGAATTATTTGAGAAAACCGAAATTTTGGAAATCCGTTTTTGTTTCACTTCAGCCTTGTTTTAGGTGATATTGAAAAAAGAAGAACACCTTGTCATGACAACTTTTTGAGGAACTCTTATTGCAACAGCTTTTCCGAGTTAAACATTGTATTTAAGTCACCCTGGTCATCACTTGTTCCCCGCAATATCAACAGTTAGAAATCATGTCTGTGGTGTTTTGCATATTTAGACCATTGTTTGATTTTATTTGACAAGATTTTTGGATTTTTTTGAATTAGTTTAATACCCTTACAACAAAGTTAAAATTTTTTAAAGACGTTTGTATATTTCATAACTAGTACTTACTGAATTTTTTTATCGAAAATACTACATTATAGTCCAATTAACTAAGCCTTTAAATCGAAATTTTGTCAACTTGGCTGAATTTTTGATATGAGTTAGTTTAAGGTATATTATAACAATAAGTGAGAGTAATTTTTTGTTCAACCCCCGGCCAAGGGTGGAAAAAGATAAAACAAAGGGCTTTTTCAAGATAACTCAAAAAGGGTAACCCGGGGGTTGAACAAAAAATTACTCTCACTTATTGTTATAATATACCTTAAACTAACTCATATCAAAAATTCAGCCAAGTTGGCAAAATTTCGATTTAAAGGCTTAGTTAACTGGACTATTACTTCGAGAAGTGTTCATTATCGGGAATATGGCCTTCAATAAATTTCTTTACGTTTCTACGTTAATTTTTGGTCTATTTCTACAAGTTTCTAAAATGATAAAAGTAACGCTACATAAAATTTAAAAAATGTCAACAGTTTAGTTAAAGGCAAGAGTTTTATGGGGAGAATAATTAATATCGGCCTGTATTGTTCCTAAAATTTATGTGATGTTAATTTTTTATGGCATTTTTTATGAAGTGATTCGTAATAAAATATATCCTTTGAAATTATACCATTTCATAGTTTATTAAAGAGTTATGTAGACATTTATTTGTTATTTTTATTCCTTTGTAGTAGGTAATTTAAACAATACAAGTTTCCAAGAGCTGTTCATATTCTTTTGCATTCCATGAACTAAAATACATTGGAACAAGACTTGAACTGGTCCAAATTTTCTTCTTTCAGTCCAAATTTCGACATAAGTGGTTTTCTAGCGATTATTCGTATTTTTCCAATTTCAAACTCAAATTTCACTTTTCTCTGGAATCTTTCACTTTTTAACACTGATGGGTCTATGGACGATGCTTAATATTTAATAATTAAAAGAATAATGAATTCAATACAAAAACAAAATCAGTTGACTGCACAAACGTTTTGACAATATAACCTAACCTTCTTTTAGTATTACTAGTATTATATTATACACTTAAATTATAAGGTTGCATCTCGGGTCGTATAAAAACATTTCTAAAGTTTTTAATAAATAAGACAAGATCGGCCTTCATTTTCGTTTAATTTACAAAAAAAACACGAAAATATAACTTTCGTATAAGACTTTTCTATTACAAATATCATCAGGAAGCTGTAGTTTAATTTTTATAGATTATACACGCCACACCCTGTATATTAATCTTTTATCTGACCAGCCCATCAAAGTTTCTCTTATCTTACACCCATACAAACTACACGACGAGAAACAAAACAAGTGGTGTAATAATTAATAAATTGTACATTGAAGGTAACATTAAAGTAGCGATTTGAGTTATCATCTATTATTTAGTACTGTTTATTTATATGTAAAATGACTTTTTTAATTGTCCGTGTCACCAGGAACCACAACACATTAATATCATCATATATGGCGTTGCGTTTGACATTAATATATTTCATAAGATATGTTTATATTATTTACGCAGGATAATTCACGGAAAATGGCCTGTGCCACCTGCAAAACCCAACAGATAAAGCATAAATCATCTCATTTATTGGTACATCTAAGATCGATAGAAAATTTAGTAGACAAAAGGGTAAAATCCTAAACAGATTTTCTGTAGCACAGAAAATTAACTAAGAAAAAATATACAGGGTGTCCGCAAATTTCACCGACAACGTTTGACTGCATATTCACGACGATACATAAATACGATCTACGAAAAAAAAGTTAAATAAACATTTTTAGGTTTTTTGAGATACAGGCTATAGTAGGAAGCAACCTGCTATACTGCAGGTACTTGTTGCACGACTGCCACCCACAGAGGGCGAAGACAATGTTTTAATTGTCAGTGTTGCGAGAAACAACTACTCACCTATGACACACTGGTGAGGACTAATAAGTCCGAAAACGATCTGTGCCTGGTGGGTTAAACTGACGAACGACCCTAGCTGTTGTACTAGGTGTTACGAGTATAATTCAATGCCGGTAGGGGCATATAGCCCTCGGAGTAGGTGTTTCTTGCAACACTGACAATTAAAAAAAGGGTTATGAAGTTATTAACTAAATTTATTTTTAACAACTTTGAAGAGCTGTAACTCAAAAACCAAAAATTTTTTATTTAACATTTTCCTGTGGTTCGAATTTATTTATCGTCGTGAATATGCAGTCAAACGTTGTCGGTGAAATTTGCGGGCATATTATATTTGACTAAATTATTTAGTCAAATTGAATTTTCCATATGCCATTTTTCACTTAGGCACTTCCTTTTCCAAAAGTTCTGTGGGTTTTGGGGAAAATAAGGAACCACCTGTATTGACGCCTTAATAACAAATGGCATAAGTCCTTTTATTTTCTGTTTTTTTGTAAATCTGTGGACGGACCAATGACACACTCAACTTTTTTCCTGTGCACACAACCATCTTGTTATTCACAGATTTCGCTAGAAGTCAAGGATTGGTGTGGGAGAGGAGCCTGTATGTCATTATTCTGCGTCTTAACCATGAAGACGTCCTAAATTTTTATTAAAATACCGCGTGTGTGAATTACCTGTCCGGACATGATTAAGATATGTGCAGCTGCTGTTTACAAATCTGTATAAGTGCACACACACCCTGTCGCTCCCTCCCACATGATCGGTCTCCCTGACGTGTTTCAACATTGTATTCCGAGAGAAAGAAATAATAGAAATATTAATACAACGTCGTTAACTTTTGGCAGACTCATAAATTAAACTGTACAAGGACAGTTCGTGATTCATCTGCTACGAAATTGTGTCTTCTCGTAAGAACGTTGTTATGGACATTTTGCGGTTGTACAAAATCTTACCGGGCCCGCCTAGTCGCTTTCACTTCTGTGTAGTATAATGACATGAATTTAATGAAGATGTCATCGTTACATCATCAATTTCTTAAAGATTAAAAAAAATGTGCGCTATATGTAGCGCTGCAGGGCACAACTTTGGGGCCAGTGTTACTTTTTATTTATTATTTTTAATTCGTAATGAAAGTTTAGGTATTATAGTATGTAATATTTCGCAGGTCCATTATGTAACATATCAAGGACTAATAATAATTAATAGTCATTTAAGGTAATAAAAAAAATTGTTTCTTTACTGTAAGAACGCTTTGGTTAAAAGTTTAATACTGCAACACAAAAGACCTTTACGTATTATTTTCTGGTAAGAAATGGTCGATTTTTAATTAATATTTACACAGGATGGGATACACAGCATCTGTACTTAAGCAGACTTCTTTAATCTATAATCAGAGTATTCCTTACTAAGTAGTCAGAGATTCCTTAGTGTAGTAGTCAAAGCATTCCCTGCGACCTCTGTAGAACGCTTCGTATCCTCCTTACGCATACTGTCGACTAAGGAGACCAGTTCAAGTAACAAGATTTAAGAGGTTGTCAATATCGTTGCCTTAGATTAGATGTCGTTGTTTTGATATTGCTGGTGCTGCCACTTCTGTTGTTGTTGTTGTTGTTGTTATTGTTGTTGTTGTCGTTGCTGTAGTAGTAGTAGCAGTAGTAGTTGTAGTTATCACTGCTGTTGTCGTTTTTATTGATGCTATTGATCTACAACAGCAACAACTACAACAACAACAACACCAGTAGCAGGAACAACGACAGCAATAATATGTACAATAGCATCAGCAGCAGCAGCAACAGTAACAACTAATCTATAATCAGAGTATTCCTTACTAAGTTGTCAGAGATTCCTTACTGTAGTAGTCGAAGCATTCCATGCGAACTCGGTAGAACGTTTCGTATCCTCCTTACGCATACTGTCGACTAAGGAAATCAGTTCCAGTAACAAGCGTTATTAACATCGTTGCCTTAGATAAGATGTCGTTGTTTTTGCTGTGATTGATCTTGCTGGTGCTGCCGCTTCTGTTGTAGTAGTAGTAGCAGCAGTAGTAGTTGTAGTTACCACTGCTGTTGTTGTCGTTGTTATTGACTACAACAGCAACAACAACAACACCAACAGCAACAGTAACAACTAAAGCAGACTTCTGTACTCTATAAGCAGAGTATTCCTAACTAAGTAGTCACAGACCATAAAATGACACTGACAAATGTCGTAATATTATTAATTTTATCTGAAATAATTTTTAATATTTCATATCGCTGTAATATAATTTCTTTTTTTTTTTTCAGGAAGTCTGCTGCACAAAGATGCCTGATGACCAGTGGTAAGACTTTTTCTTTATTGTACAACAGTATCATTCTCACTGCTTCAATCTCTATCAAAAAGAGCAGAAATATATTTAATTTATTCCTTTACCTTTTGACTTTTGATCGATTAGCCCAAAATAGAGGTGTATAATATCACATTCAGAATTAAAACTAGTTTTCTAGCAACTGTAAAGGCAGATACTACTCATTCGATTCTATGATGCCGAAGATAATTCTAGGTTATGATTCGTTTCATCAAATAGCCTCCACTGGCACTCCCATCTTGGCAATATAAGAGATGACAGAATTGGCAATGCAATTTATGTTTCTAATCGTGAGGGTTACAGTATTCGATGAAGAGGGTGTTAAAAAAGCGTAAACAATTTTAAATGCAAACGAAACTCCAAAAAATAAGAAGAGGAGCTTACGTCGCATGTCAAATCGATGCTGCCTAAAAAACAATTTGTTATTTAAACTGTTCCAATAGGGTACTAAAAGTAATAAATATAACTAATAATCTGTTAGATCGTAGGACGTCGATCTCGATGCCGCCTGCCAGCCTTTCTTTAACTTATTTAGTAGCGTCGCCGTCGCTCCTATAAGCAATAATTCCACTTTAATATTAATTAATATGTGTTCCTTTTTGGTTAAAAAAGTCCAATATTTCACATTTTGTTACTAAAAGTTGTATACGAGGTCTGACAAAAAAATCAATACGTATTTAATGCATAACATTGCTTGCAGAGGGTGCCCCGCTCGCGACAGCCAAAAATATTTATTAGATTATTTTCCCCACCCTCAAAAATCTCTTGCTAGGATCTTTGAAACAAGTCTGACTAAAACTTTAGAAATTATTAAGGAAAAACCATTTTTTATTTTTCACTTTGACGCCCTGTATCTTTTTTATTATACGATTTGGGATATACACATAAGTATACATTTGTCACACATTTTCCCCAAATATGGGCCGTTCCTTAGTACGCGTAAGCGCGTGCGTGTGTACGGCAAGCCTAATTTGAAATATCAATTATAAATAGATAAGTTCTGCAGTTAAAGAACACGTCAAATGTCAAGGGAGGCCTCTTCGTGTGTCCCGCTCGAGCTCGCCGCAATAATTTTTAGATTTATGACGTTAATTACTTCTTAACGATGTCGCTGACAAAAATCTGTGCTTAATAATTCGCCGAAGATTGATTCCCATGGTTGGTAATCGTCGTAAATTAATTTATATTTAAAATTATAAAGTTTACGTACCGATATGGGTGTAATTGCTTTTAATCAAGTCGACGGGTTATTAAATTACTGCTAAATGGCACTGGAGATGCTTCGATGAGTACGAGAGCCGTCTGGAATTCCATCCGCAAGTTAGTTTCCCACTTCTTAAGACAGTTGTGCTAGATTGTGCTAACCCTGTGCTACGTTTTGCCGCAAAAAAAAATAATTTTGACATTGTGTTTTCCACGTAGCCTTGGCGCTCCACGAAAATCATATCTCCTTAGTATCCTAGATTGTACTAGTTCTGAACATTGTGCCTTTGAGAAAAACTTCACCTGTCAAAAATGGCATTTTCCACTTATTCCACTTTGCAAAAGTAAGAACGTATACGTCCAACTCAGCAGTGATATCATTAATGAATATCATAAATAAAAATGGACCAATAGTGGATCCTTGTGGAACACCTGATGTTTGTGTGCATTCAAAAGCCATAATACTGCACAAATCGCGATCTATCAATTAAATAGGAATTAAACAACCCAATAAGGTCGCAACTCATTGTAATCTTATCAAACTTACCCGATACATAAGTTTTGGTATACCCAAGTTGGAGTAAGCCTCTGTAGTTCAATCTCATTAAACTAATGCAAAAAATTAAAGGGTCAAAAGAATTTCCGAAATTTTTCCGGGATTTTTGACAGACTGTATTTAGGTGAAAAATGGTTGTATCGGGAATTAAAAAAAAATCATTTCGAAGCTCTAAGATTATAATTTTTAGATATTTCGGTCGAAATTTTTTAGGTTTTAGGTTATCATGCAATTCGAAGAAAAGGCGTGACAAAAAAATTTTGTAAAGTCCACGGACTTGGAATTTTTTTTTTCAGCTAAGCCATTGCATGGACCAGATAGCTTGTTTATTCAGCTTCAATGTCCTTTTTTTTAAATTTCTATACGACCATTTTTCATTGAAATATCGGACTTTTAAAGGAAAAGGATCCTTTTGTCTTCAATCGTTATCTCGGCGACAAATAGTCGTACAGAGAATTGAAGGGCAGTTTCGAAAACTGAAATAAATTTCCTATAACATGCTGCCGCAACTTTTCGGAAAATTTGCTTTTTCATCCTTTACACGAATTTTAAAAAACAGGAAAAAAAGGGTAGGTAATTTATGGTTATTTAGAAAATTGGCGGCTAAATTAGAAATATTCACGAAATGACTAATGTTAAGTATGACTTTTACAGTTCGATATACCCAGAAGAACCCTGTGAAGTTTCATCTCGATCTAGCGAACCGTTTCTTTGTTTCAAACAGTCAAACTTTTGAAAAAAAATAAAGGGTCACATTTTTTAAGCTTAAACACTTCATAATCATGATTAAAATGGAAGAAAAAATGTTTGAGGTTTTCTCTTATTTTTACCGCAAATAACGTTTAAATTGATTTTTTTTTCAGAGAAGAAAAAGTGTAGTTTTGAAAAAAAACTGTTTTTAAGTGATTACAGATTGCACAAAAATTAATTAGTTTGTCTCAAAAATCGGTATGAATCGGGATCGAAATCTTGTTTGGGTCATCAACTTTAATTTAATTTAATTTAATTAAAAGTTGATGAACAGAAGCATAGGACGGAAAAGCCTAACCGTACGGGAAACAATTGGGTTTTGATTTCTTCAATGTCCGAAAGGTTTTTCAAATAAAACTTCAAAAATTTCGAAAATTTCGATTTTTTTTTTCATCAATTTAACGTTATTTGCGGTAAAAATTTGAGAAAACCTCAAAAAAATTTTTGTCCATTTGAATTATGATTATGAATTTGTTTAAGCTCAGAAAACGTGCCCCTTTAATTTTTATCAAAAGTTTGACTGTTTGAAACAAAGAAACGGTTCGCTAGATCAAGATGAAACTTCACAGAGTTCTTCTGGGTATATCGAACTGTAAAAGTGATGCTTAACATTAGTCATTTCGTGAATATTTCTAATTTAGCCGTCAATTTTCTGAAGATATCGATGGCTGAAGATAAAAGGATCCTTTTCCATTAAATGCCCGATATTTCGATGAAAAATGGCCGTATCGAAATTAAAAAGAAAGACAATTGAAGCTGAATAAACAAGCTATCTGGTCCATGCAATGGCTTAGCTGAAAAAAAAATTTAGAAGTCCGTGGACTCAGAAAATAAAAAAAAAATTGTAAAATATTTTGTCGCCTTATTTCTTAGAATTGCATGATAACCGTAGCTCCTAAAAAAATTCGACTAAAAGATCTAAAAATTAGAATCTTAGAGCTTCAAAATGCATTTTCTTCATTCCCGATACGGCCATTTTTCACCTAAATACAGTCTGTCAAAAATCACGGAAAAATTTCGGAAATTCTTTTGAATTTTTTGCATTAATGTATGTTGTATGACATTTGAAGGAAACCTCTTTAATCGGCATGTTATTTTGGATGGGACCTATCCAGCTCAAAGTTTTTCCCAGAGTTTGCTTGTATAGACATGAGAGGGACATTTTGGAAATTCTGACAGTGGTGTAATATCGTGTACCTTTTTTTTATAAGAAGCGAAATATAAAACAAAGAAAAATTTAATATTCGATAAATATTTTAGTCACGTCATATGAAAATATACCTACCTATTAGGGTGGCCCAAAAAAAAACTATTTTTTTTCATGTTTCTTGTAAAAATATGTTAGTTTAATATGTTTTAAGAGCCCCCTCAAAAAATCGGCTCATAAAAAATTTGTTAGACGTCGCTCAAGATTTTTAAAAATTTCCAAAATCGTCAAAAATGGATTTTTTTCGTTTTTTAATTTTTTCTCGTTATTTTATCATAGGTTGAAAAAAATCTCGATTCTGAAAATTTCAAAACGATATTTTTTCTAAAGGTCACTAATAATTATTTCAACTTGAAAAGTAGTGTACCTAAAATGTTTTCGAGTTACCTCTAAAAATAAATATCAACGAACTAATAATTTTTTATTTATTGAATTTGATGAACAAAAGAATAGAAATAAATCACGAGACACAAAAAATTTCTCGAAGCAAAATTTACTACCGCACTGTGAGTATCAAATATATTTTTTTAATTTGTTAAAATTTCTCGTGAATTATTCTCGTCTCGTGATTTATTTCTATTCTTTTGTTCATCAAATTCAATAAAAAAAATTAGTTTGTTGATATTTATTTTTAGAGGTCTGTACACTGAAAATTAAAATAATTATGAGTGACCTTTAGAAATTAAAATATCGATTTGAAATTTTCAAAATTGAGATTTTTTTCAACCTAGAAAATAATAAAATAACGAGAAAAAAATTATAAAACGAAAAAATTAAATTTTTGACGATTTTGGAAATTTTTAAAAATCTTGAGCGACCTCTAAAAATTTTTTTTTGAGCTGATTTTTTGAGGTGGCTCTTAAATCATGATAAATTAACATATTTTCACAAGAGACACGAAAAAAAAAATCGTTTTTTTGGGCCACCCTACTACCTATACTAACGACATGAGAAATACATTGTTTTTTTTCTGCTATAATTTGGTGAAGCATTTTTATTTCTTGATCCACAATGTACCATATCTACCGATTTCTACAATTTATTTTTCTCGTGCCATTCACTCAGCAAATCGCGACATCAATTCAAAATGACAATTTCAACACGTCGATTAATTTATCGATCTGATACTGCGACAACTCAGTCGAACTTTCCTGGTACGTTACACCGTGTTACTGCGAACCGACACCACCTAACCGCTGCGTTTTCCTTTGCAGGTTCACACCGGCCATCCTTCTTCAGAGGCATCCCGGCCTGAAAGTGATAATCGACCTCACAGACACCACCAGATACTACGACCCGCAGGTAGGTACAGCAGAGGTGGTTCGCAACCATCTTGGTCATTTTTCATTCCACCCAGTCCTGAAAAACATTGTATAAGTTTAGTGTACAGCGATACTCAATAACAGAACATTTTTCATTCCTACACTAACAGAAATAACTCTTTAAATTTATTATATACTTGCTATAGCCACTGAATGGCTATAATTCTTGGATAATAATTATTAGACATCGGAAACTTCGTGGCGACTATCAAATAAATAAACAGTACTAATCTATATTATGCCAGTAAGCGGTAATAAAACAGGCTAAATCTATGATCAAGGTCTGCTTCTGACTGCCACAAAAACACGTTTTATACTCTCGACCAAGCAAAGCGCTAAACGAACTCACACACGCACGAACGACAGTGACGTCGGCCAGGCCGACAGCGCAGGCATTAGGGTGCCGCTAGATACGTATCGAATAAATTGATCGATGCGAAGTTTCAGATCAGAGGCAGACATGCACATGTTATTGTACAATGTTATTCTTTTCTTTTTCTCCATTTTATTTTTAAATTTTCAACAAGTGAATGATTAAACTAGAGTAGAGGAATATTAAATTTAAAAAATAAAAGCTTGAAAGGCTTTTTTGCTTCGACTCTGTTTCGAAGCAACTCAGCACCACTAATATATACGTTTGCTAGAACACTCGTCGGTGGTGTGACTAAATATTGCCTTGCTATAGGAAAAAGAAGCCCAAGCGTCCCAAAGACTATTATTACATTAAATTTTTGTGTTATGGTTAAATAAACCTGATTAAATAAAATAAATAATCGTATATATTTTGTGTTGGTGATTTTGGTAGCTTAATATCCAGAACCACTACAAATGTGTGCGTGTGATTTACGCGGCCAATCTGCTGGCAAATGGCGCCATATTTAAAAACTGAATATTCACATTCGCGAATATCAGCGACAGATTTTCGTATTCTCGAATTAGTCCAGGCGGTACTTGTTTCGGGTTGGGTAAAACGCATATGATCGGAGATTTTTGCTTTAACGGCTTCTAAATAACATCAGAAATGATAATATTTCTATGCAAATAAAAAAAACGTGGGCTTAATTGTTATTGCAAAAAAGTATAAAAAAATAGCAAAAAAATTCATTTTTTTCTTGGATTTCTCGTCGACAACTTAGCAACTATTCGTTTTAGACAAAAATGGAAGAGGAAAAAAAGTTTTGTACTTAAATTTTGATCAGGATAGAGTTAGTTGCAATTCGAAAAAATAATTATTGTTGTTGCAAAAATCGGAAAAATCATTTAAAAAATTGCAAAAAATGCTAGTTTATTTGTAAATTTTTTTCAGACACTTGAATAATACCTAGGATCTTCATACTTTTCCCAATTAAACTTCTTAATACATAGAATCATCACACCAAATTTCATCCAATTCGGTTCGATAGTTTTTACATAATAATTGTTTAATTTTTTATTTTTTTTTTAAATTAAAGAATTTTCAAAATCAAATTTCTAAAAATCTAAAGCCTTTGAATACTTGAAAATTTCACCATAAAAAGAAGAGCTCTCAAGCTTTAAAATGCTTTATGAAAAATTAAAATCGGACGATTAGGTGAGCCGTGGTGATTGTTTAAACATTTTCGCAAATTTCACGCTTATAAACAATTGCAATAATTTAATGTATTTCCAATTTTTTTTTAATTTTAAAATATAGTTTGAAAGTACTCGGAAAGGCGAGTATTTAAAAAAAACCTGATGATCCGGCCATTATTTTCGGAGTTATAACCCGTTAAAGTTAACCCTTATTTACAGCAAAACTATAAGGGCTGTTTTTTGAACCAATAGGTTTGTTATTCCGAGTACTTTCCAGATATAAATTTTCAAAATTTGCAATCACGGGCGTCCCATTTAAAATGTCACTCAAAGATATTCAAGACCGCGTGAAATCAATGAGGTATCAGTGGTGGGGGGAGCAAACACACAGCTACTCCGATCTGAATTCTCGAGTTCAAAATTGCGACACTCGGAAAAATTTCACTTATCTCAGCGTCTAATGGACCAATTTCGATGATTTTTTTTTAAATCGATGTCTCGCAACTAAAAAATTCAATTATCATATTTTCAACTACATTTTATTATTAATTATTGGACTTTTGACATGCCGATAAACAGTTACTTTAAAAAATGATTAATTTATTATGTTTATTTATTTACTATGTTAATTTTCACGACCAAAATTTTTGCATGTTGCACCATGTTGTTGGTATTAATTAAGTATCCAAAAGATTCTTATACTTTTTTTATAAATAAAAAATAAATTTTAGATAAATATTTTAAAAGTAAACAAAAAAATTAAAATTATAATTATTCACAATTTATGTGAGTAATAATTTTTGAGAGACTTTTAGAAATTTATCATACAACTAAAAATTAATACCAATTTTCAGTTGTTTATTTAAATAATTATTGTTTAAACAATTTTATAATATTTAAACAAGCTTACTAGTATTACCAAAAATTTGAAACGAACATTAAATTATTGCAATTGTTTATAAGCTTGAAAATTGCGAAAATGTTTAAACAAACACCACGGCTCTCCTAATCGTCCGATTTGAGTTTAAAAGCATTTTAAAGCTTGAGAGCTCTTCTTTTTGTGGTGAAATTTTCAAGTATTCAAAGGCTTTAGATTTTTATAAATTTGATTTTGAAAATTTTTTAATTTAAAAAAAATAAAAAAAATTAAACAATTATTATGTAAAAACTATCGAACCGAATTGGATGAAATTTGGTGTGATGATTCTATGCACTAAGAAGTTTAATTGGGTTCATAAGTTCATAAAAGTACGAAGATCCTAGGTATTATTCAAGTGTCTGAAAAAAATTGACAAATAAACTAGCATTTTTTGCAATTTTTTAAATGATTTTTCCGATTTTTGCAACAACAATAATTATTTTTTCGAATTGCAACTAACTCTGTCTTGTTCGAAATTTAATTACAAAACTTTTTTTCCTTTTCCATTTTTGTCTAAAATGAATAGTTGCTAAGTTGTCGACGAGAAATCCAAGAAAAAAATGATTTTTTTTGTTATTTTTTTATACTTTTTTGTAATAGCAATTAAGCCCACGTTTTATTTTATTTGCATAGAAAAATTATCATTTCTGATGTTATTTAGAAGCCGTTAAAGGAAAAATCTCCGATCATATGCGTTTTACCTAAGTACACCCTTTGTAAGACAGATACCGCCCGGACTAAATGCCTAAAATGATGACATCACTAGTCACATATCTGTAAAATGTATTTCCTATATTACATATTTACCACCAGTAATTTCCTTTTTTTTCCTATTTCTGTTGCAGTTCTTGTTTCTACTCTCAAATCGTCTTGTTTATTTTGAAAATAGTTTTCTTTTATTTCTGAATATTAATTGATTGCTTCTCTATGACGTCTGTTGCAGCGTTTGTATTTGATTTTTGTCTAAGAATAAAAATTCTTTTTGTAGTTTTATGTCTGTCATAAATGTGAATTTAATAAATTTTGCACAGCCTGTACTAGGGTTTTCGAGAAGTCGAAAGAAAAATACTGGTGTTTCTGAAATGTCACTACTAGCATATTTCATGGAGAAATCAAGAACTTTAAAGCTACCGGCGAGTTTGTGGAGTGAATACTCAATGATTAAGTCAACTATTTCCATAGAGGAGAACGTGGATATATCAAAATACCCCAAGTTGAGAGCATTTTTGAAACGTAAGAATGACGGCTGTACACCTAAAAGTCAAACGTTTTTACAAGAAAACAAGTCGACGATTTTCTCGTTCAGGCACCAGATAACACATATTTCCTAGTAGAGGTGGTGACGGTCTTAGGCATTGCAGGAGCATGCCGTTCTGATGAGTTATGCAAACTTACTTTGAGCAATATCAATTTCAAAATGTTCGATGACATTATTGTAGTTACAATTCCAGATTCTAAAAATGGTATGTCACGTACGTTTACAATTACTTCTCGTCTGGGTTCTGTTTCTCACCTATAAATTCTCAAGAAATATATCAAGATTAGATTAGAAAAACGAAAATTTCACGCTTTTTTATGCGCATTCAATCAGGTAGATGTTATAACCAACCAGTTGGTAAGAATATCATTTCTGTGATTCCTAATAAGATCGCACAGTTTTTGAAACTAGAACCTCCTGAAACATATACAGGCCATTCATTCCGAAGAACATCGGCAACGTTACTGGCTAATACAGGAGTTGATGTATTAGCAATCAAGAGATAAGGTGGGTGGAAATCAGCTACAATTGCAGAAAGTTATGTTGCTGACAATTTAAGTAACAAAAATGAAATACAATTCTTTACAATGACACTTCAACTCCAGGTACTAATAGTACGTCCCATTATGCTGTTTTAATGGATCAGTCAAATAGTATTGAGCCTCAGGTGACTGAAATGAAACGGTCAAATCATTTTGAGAAAAATGTGACAATTAGTAAACGTGAGGGGAATAATTATCCAAATTTTATAAATGTTACTAAATGTAATAACTGCACAATTACTAGTTACCTTACTTACCTCCCGTTGTCCATAGCAACTTCCACTTCTACGGTAAAATCCACTTACCTCCTTAAAAACAATGTATTAATAATCTATTTACTATAGTCGGAGCAGATAAAAGCTATTTTTTTAAAGAGCATACTCAATCCGGTTTTTTATGAATCAAGAGAACTGTGAAAAAATAAAGCACTTTTGTCATAATATTAAATAATCCCTTTTGTTTAATGGCCATCATTCGGAATGTATGTAATTCCTGTTATTTTCCGAAATTTTATTTTATAATTCTTTATACCATTAGAAACTTATTAGAGTAAATATTACTTATTTTCATAATATTTAAATTATTTTTTTAATTGACCACACGCCCGTTTACATAACTGTGACCCGTGCACAGTTCTGTAAAGAATGAAAAAATCACTATAAATGTCAATGCTCTGAGGAATACGCACTGCTGTATCTATGGCCAACCTG